GGTACCTAAACTGTGGCAAGAAACCACAACTCATGTGACACAGATGTACCGTCTAGGCATTTCTAAAATGCATTTCATATCTTGGTCCACAGATATTCTGAAACCATTTTTTTTATAACGGTATTAAGTAATCTACAAAACACTATTTAAAAATTACTTTCACAGCACACTTGGTTCCAAAGGTTTTGATATTTTTGTTAGTAAACTATACTTTGGCAATTTGGTTCTGTTCCACCAATAACTGGGGCTGTTATGGATAAAAACACCCATCTAACCCAGGCAAACAGCAGCCCTAGAACTCGGGAGTACCCGGCCAATCCGTGTGAAGTGCTGGGCTGGGCTGGAAAAGAGGCTCACGGTTTGGTAAAGGGGTTATTTAGCTCAGATCTAGTCTTGCAGAGTGCGGCACAAAGGCAAACGCAGGCCCTCTCTGCTCCTCGGACTCTGCTCTCCCCAAATCCATCCTACTCTCGTGGGCAGCAGAGCTGCACAGCGCCGTTCATCAACTCCTATGCCCACACTTAAGGGAAAAGTTTGGCTGTTATGTACGCTAACTTCACCAGATCCCTGAATGAAAAGCCCTTCACTCTGTCAAACAAAAGTGTGACATCATCAATGTCATGGGCTCCTGCACTTGACCACTGCAAAGAGTGGAGTCTCCCGACACTGCCCCACCCCACACATGCTGGAAATGTGATGTGACCCTCACCTGTGAAGAGTATCTTACGCGTTTCCATTATAAAAGGGGCTGGGGATGGGACCCTGGGAGGACCAAACCTGAGAATGAGATGAGGCTGCATTTATCAGCTCAGGAGACTGTGGTACCAGGGCAGAGACATGGCACCATGCTGCCCTGTGTAGCTTCACTGGCCATCTTCAAGTCTCAGAGTGGTCAGTCCCTGCACGGCACACTCTGCACAATGACCCATCCCTGTGCAGGACTGGATGTGATGCTACTTGGTCGCCGTATGACCCAAGCAGGGAGGAACGTGTCTGTGCACCCTCCTCTAAAATATGCATGCCGACACTCAATGAGGGGCGCACTGGTCCAAGTGGGACTTCAGTAATGTCCTTTCTCTCTGCCGTCCTCCAAGAGCTTTAGAACAGATGCCGTTTCCAAAAGGAAGCCCTTCTTTACAGAGGCAAAGGAGCAGCCCGCGCATTTCTCATCAGGATGAGCGCTCTATCTGCGAGACACGAGGCCCCTCATGCCCCTGCCTTAAGGGCACGACCCAGCTGACCCAGGCTTGGGCCAGAGCAGCAGAGGACACTCCAGGGATGCTATCTGGTTTACTCTGTGTGTGTGTAGTCGGCACGAGGCGAGACAGGGACCTAGCCTGAGAACCAAGGCCAACCTGACCTCTGACCTTCTGGAGATGACCAGGAAAGTTCAACAGGTTCCCAAAGGAACAGTTCAAGTTAAACCCAAAATTTAGAATATGATAAAAACAAACTCACATTCTTGGCTTCATCATGACTATAAATAACACCTCTTTGTCCAAGTCAGGAGAATTGGTTCAACAAAGAATCAAACTGGTTTCTCTGAGCAGACTGTGTCAAAGGCCTCACTTACTCTTTGGGCCGTGAACAGAGAGAGATTATTTTGGAGGGGAAAAAAATAATCAGAAAGTGCGGAATTAGTAATGCTGACATTGAGAGGCAAGTGCAAGGCCACAAGTCCTTGAATAGGGGTGTCTCTGCATGGCCGGTGGCACGTGCCCCAAGGTCGAAGGTCAGAGTGACCACTCTTGGTGAGAGCAGTGTGCAGGGCTGCCAGCTGACACACAACACAACACACGCTCCTCAGGTTAGTCCAGTAACTCAAGACTTACATTCTTTTGTCTTTATTTGTTTATTGCATTAAACACGTAAAGGTTAATAAACAGACATAGTCCAGAATTAGTAGGTTGGTATTATAACATTTATTAAAATAATGCTATGGGTTAATAGAAACAGCAAAGAACCAAAGAATTATAATGCAAGCTATGTAAATTCCCAACTAAAATCCAAAAGGGTCTAATGTATTCAGTCAGCAGCTAACTAAAAGCCCAAGACAGACAAGACACCCATATGATAGAGTACTGCAAAACAATTGGCAATTTTCAGTTATCAAAATTGTGGATTTTGCATTTTGTATCCTTTTCTCAATCAAGAAAAAAATTTTTTGAATGTTATATAACATACATATAAAACAAGATAGAAAAATACATTATAAACTTGTAACAATGGCTGTAAATACATTATCTTACATGTTTCTCATAGGCAATAGGTTGGTTATGGTACATACACAGCATGAGATTACTAA